ACCCCAGGTTCCAGCATTCTGGCCCAAGTGACCAGAGTGATCTGCAGTGAGGAAGACAGTGTCTCTTCACCTCGGGAGAAGGGAGATTGGCTTGGCTACTCCCCTCCCGATCTGTACTTTCAGTTCTGAGTCAGAGAGCGCGCCGAGGATTTTTGTTGTTTATCTGTCTGTATTTGGGGATCCTGAAAGTAAGAATGGTGAGTGCTGTGCGTGTCTGGGTGTAAGAAGGACCGGTCCACTTGAATGTGATATAGCATGGTGTGTGTGTGTGTACTTGATAGTGTATTAGTATCTTAAAAGGGGAAGGTCTGGTTTTGTATTTTTCTCCACACTTTCTATTTTAAGCCTTCTCTGTCTTTTTTTTTTTCTCTTTTATTCTTGGTCCAAGTCTTCGTGAGGGACCGTTAAAAGCGAAGGAGCAATTGAGGTTTTCTGGTCAGGGCCACTCCCTGACGTAAACCAAAGGCTCTTAGCCCTCTTGGTGGACACCGACTGCCCACACGGGTGGAGACAGGACGGTCTTTCTATATCTTCTTTCCTCTCTAGCCACTAAGAAGCCCCGTGGGCATGGGTCGAGCAAGTAAGAGCCACAGGGTGCTCACCACTAAAAGACTCCCGTGAAAGGATAAAGGGGTCCCAGGCGTGAATCCCAGAGAAATTCACGTCCCCCGCAGAAGAAAAACTGGGCACCGATAGGTACTCGTCGACAAGCACACTCACTGGTCATTACTGTTTGGAGTGGCATCTGTATCTCTCTCTCTCTCTCTCTCTCTCTCTCTCTCTCTTTCTCTCTTCCTCCTTTTCTCCATTTCTCTCCTAAAAGTCTTTCACCATGGGTCAATTACTAATTACCTGCTTGAGTTTAACTCTAGAACACTGGAAGGAAGTTATAGAACGAGCCTGTAATTTATCATTAGAGGTCCAGAAGAAGAAGTATGTAGAGGCTAAGAATCAATAGAGGTGGCAGTACTGCCAAGCTGTAGTGGAGTTTTAAGCAAGCAAGGATGGATGTCTGCAAGGCCTCCCCCTATGGCAGCAGTTAAACCCCCAGTCACATAAGCACGGCAGCAGCCACCAGTGGCACAGGTGCCATGAGGCTTTTCCAGGTACCTTTAAAGATGTTCCTATTCAGCTGGGTATGGTGGCACATGCCTTTATTCCCAGCACTTGGGAGGCAGAGGCAGGTGGATCTCTGTGAGTCTGAGGCCAGCCTGGTCTACATAGTGAGTTCCAGGCCAGCTGGGGCTACAGGGAGACACTGTCTCAAAAAGACCAAAAAAAAAAAAAAAGATGTCTCTATGCTATGACCAAACCCAGACACAGGAGCACAGAGTGTCAATAGTAGGGGGAAAATGCCATGCCTGGGCAAGGCCAGGCAGATTCCCAGGGTACACATACTTTCCATAGGAAGTGTCTTTTAACACCAGCTCTGGAGCTCTATACCAGCGTGTGGCCACATAGTATGTGTAAATGTCCCCAGGAGCTGCCAGTGTTCTTGCAAAACCAAAATCACAGAGCTTAGTAATTCCTGACTGGGATACTTAAATATTCTCAGATTTTATATCTCAATGAATAATCTAAAAAACAAACAGAAAATTAATAGATTAAAATATGGTTTCATTTTCTACAGAATCAAAACCTATAGAATCTAGCAAATAATTAAGATGGTGAAGTTATTTCCTAACCACATATAAAAATTATATATTCTCCACAGATTACTTCAAAATGAAATGAAGCCAAACAGACATATTGTAACACTGAAAGAGTAAATCACATTCCTCTAAGAGCGCGCAAAGGGACTTGGTGAAAACCAAGTTCAACTTTCCTTTAACGCAGTGACCTACTCCACTTACTGTCTGTCCTTCCTGCCTCCTCAGGTTCACCCTCTGGAAGACAGCCTCCTCCACGGTAACTTTTCTGCTTCTGGACACAGTCATCCAATAGTGACGCCTGTCAATCCGTGATCTACTGATTTCTTAGTTTTCACACTCCTTCAGCCTGGATTAGGAACCTAAATTTTTGGTTTTCTTTCCCTAGCAGCTCCTCTTTCTCTGCCTTTTACTTGTAGAACTCAGTGGGCGTGGTGGCTCACACCTTTAATTCCAACACTTGGGAGGCAGAAGCAGGCAGATCTCTGTGAGATTGGGGCCTGCCTGGTCTACATAGGGAGTTTAAGGCCAGCTGGGGCTACAGGAGACACTGTCTCAAAAAAAAAAAAAAAACCAACCCCAAAACAAAAACAATTAAATGTAGGACTCCTACCTTTCCTTTCTCATATGTCATGCTCTCTGTCTCTGGCTCTCTGGCTCTCTCCCTCTCTCCCTCCCTCTCTCTCTCTTTCTCTCTGTCTCTCGACTATTTTCATCACCTGGTTATAAAGACCACAAACTCTGGGTTTCTTCCTACCTACTAACCTCAGTCTCAGCAGCCCTTTCTCTTTTTAATATTTAAAGAATTAAAAAATTTTAATTGACATAAATTATACACATATATTAACTTCATACATTTAAAAATCCATATCACAACACGGATATGGATTTACATGGATATGTACTTACCTACATGCAGGCAATACACGCATACACATAAAATAAAAATAATAAAAAAAATTTTTTAATCCATATATACTAAGGAATGACTAAATCAATCTAATTAACATGCATTACCTCATCATTTTTGTAGTAAGAATATTTAAAATGTACTTTCAGCCATTTTAACAAACACTACACATTGTTATGAACTATAGTTAGCATGTTGCAAAAAAAGTCTTTTGAACTTATTCCTGTTTGACACTCTGCAGCCTTTGACAAAGCCTCCCTCACCGGTGCCCTCTCCAGCTCCTGGTAAATCTCATTCTATCCTTTTCTTCTATGAAGTTACCTTTTCAGACTCACATAGACATGAGATCCTGTAGCATTTGTCCTATGCCTGGCTTCTAAACATGCTATCCTAACACTTATCCATGTTGGTACAAATCATAGTATACCCTTCTTCAAGGCTCAATAACAGCATTCCATCATATGTAAACACTATTTTTCTTTCTTTTCACTAAATTTCTATACCCATCCACCTGTTGGACACTTTGTTTGCATATTCTGCCTATCATGAATGATGCAGCAGTGAATGTGAGCGTGCAGGTGTCTTGGACAGACTACTTCTTTTTCCTTCCATGTATGCCAAGTAGTGAGACTGCTGAATCACATGGAAGTACTAGTTACTTATGAAAGAGGATCTTTCATAGCGTTCTCCACGATGTCACATTTCAGCGTATGTTCCAACCAGCAGTCCGCACAGGCTTCTTTTTCTCCATGTTCTTTCCAACTCTTCTGTGTTTAACTCCCCCCATCCTAGAGAATGAATTTCAGACTCCTCAAAACAGCTGCAAGGACTTGGAAGATCTGGCTTCTGCTCACCTTCTCTGCCTCTCTCTAGCCTGCAGGCTTACCTTCCCAGTTCTCTGCTACCAATATCAATTTCATGGCCTCTGTGTATTTACAACATCATTGACCACCTGGCAAACAACTTCTCAGGTGTCAGCATCTGCCTGTCCACATCATTCTGCCTGCCCATGCCCCCTTGGTCAAGCTATCCTGTAAGCTGCCTGTTCATCTGTCTGAAACTCCAACTATACTGTAAGCTCTGTTATCTTATTCAAGGAACAGGCTGAGTACACTTGCTAGCATGTGTGAGATCCTAGGTTCAGACCCCAGTCACACCCCTCCACACACATGCACACCCACACACAATGAAAAATGAGCATACTCATCATTTGTACAATGTCAAGGTCACAGCCTAACACTGTCAAGGTCACAGCCTAAGTAGAAATATAAGTGACAAAAGTCTTCATGAGTCCCTTCCTGCTCATACACATCACTGCCACTAGCCCTTGGAGTGAGCCATTGCTTTGCCTCAATCTGACCCTAGAAAAGAGGCAAAACTGAAACACTTCAGATGAACCTGTCATCTGTCCAACTGTATTGATTCCTTTTTACTTAATTCTTATTGAGTTGCTACTACTCCAGTCACTCTACCAAGATCTGAGGCTACAGGGTTCAAACCAGACATAAATAAGCACATTACAGACTCCACATCCTGACCGCTCACATCCGCTGGATTCTTCAGGGTTCCAAACCTACTTGATAACCCAACTCTCTCAATCTTGAGTAACTAACACCATGATATCTATCTAGAATTTTGCTGTCCTTGGAAACCAAGAACTCTGAGAATCTCAACTGCTGAAGTTCTGTTTTGACATCTCCCTTGGTTGCTGCTGTCACTGAGACTCCATGAAAGCAGTCTCTCCCATTCATTGAGACCGCCTTTAATATTTCTCATCTAGTTTAGTTTCCAGTGTTCAGATCGCATGCATCTTTTGTCAAGTTTTCTTTAAGGTATAGAATAATTTTATTCATTATAAATGCTATTTTATTTTTAGACAGGGTCTCATGTGGCTCAGGCTAGCCTCAAATCTATTATATAGCCAAGGATAATCTTGAACTTCTGATCCCCTGGCCTTTGCCTCCCAGCAGGGCTGGGGATCAAATCCAGGGCTTCAGGCATGCCAGGCAAGCACGCTACTAGCTAAGCTTCATCCCAGCCCATAAATGGTATTTTAAAAATTCTCTTTTGGGGCTGGAGAGATGGCTCAGAGGTTAAGAATGCTGGCTGTTCTTGCAGAAGACCCAGGTGAATCCCAGCACCCACATGGCACTAACAACTGTCCGTAACTAAAGTCCCAGGGGATCCAACAGCCTCTTCTGTCCTCCTTGGGCATTGCATGACACAGGTGCACTTACCTACATGTAGGCAATACACATAAAAATAATAAATATTTAGCCGAGTGTGGTGGCGCACACCTTTAATCCCAGCACTTGGGAGGCAGAGGCAGGTGGATCTTTGTGAGTTTGAGGCCAGCCTGGTCTACATAGTGAGTTCCAGGACAGCTGGGGATACAAGGAGACCCTGTCTCAAAAAGAACAAAAATAAATAAATAAATAAATAATTCACTTTCTATTTGCTGCTAATACATAGAAAAAAATGAATTTGAGAATGTTGATCTTGTATCCTGCAACCTTGATAAATTTACTTAATAGTTCTGTCAATTTTGTCATAGATTCCACAGGATTTTTTTACATAAATGAACATAGCATGTGTGAATAAAGACAGTTTACCTCACCCCACTCAAAAAAGATACCATGTCAAGCCAGGTGTGGTGGTGCTTGACTTCAATCCCAGCAATCGGGAGGCAGAGGCAGGTAGATCGCTGAGAGATTGAGGCCAGGTTAGCTGTAGCTACTGAGAGATGCTGTTTCAAAAAAGACCAAAAAAAAAAAGACCATGTCATAACTTCTAGAATTCCAGAATGGTTACCAAAAAAATGACAATCACAAGCATTTGCTGCATACACCAAGATCCTGTGTTAGGGACCCAACACCAAATAAGGGGAGGGGCACAATAATGAAAATAAAAAAAGATCACTTTGGAAAACCGATTGATAGTTTCTTAAAACTAAAACAAAACAAAACAACAACAAAAACCAAGCCAAGCATGGTAGTACATGCCTTAAACCCCAGTACTCAGGAGGCAGAGGCAGACAGATATCTGTGAATTGGAGGCTAGCCTAGTCTAAAAAGCAAGTTCAAGACTAGCCAGGGCTACATAGAGAGCCTGTCCACTCTCCACTCCTTGTGTGGATCCATACCACAGATTATTATTCAGCCTTTAAAAGGAATGTTGTACTCACAGTACAACAAAGATGAACTCTGAAAATATTGTGTTAAGGTAAAGAAAGTCACATGCATATGATCTCATTTAAAAGAAATATTCAGAAAGAGTGTCTCTATAAACAGAAAGCTGAAAACTGGTTGCCTAGACCCAAGGGTAGAAACTAGGACTGAGTAAAAACAAGCAATGGGGATATTTTTGGAGTGATGAAAGTTCTATAACAGGATTGTGGTAATGTGAATTAATTTAAGAACTCTGCCCACTCATTAGCTGACCAATAAACTGAGTAAAGATTTCAGTGGTCACACATGACAAAGAATATAGACTCAGAATGTTAAAATTCAGGAAAGTTAACTCAAAAAAAAAAAAAAACAAGCCACAGTGGGTATGGTGGTACACACCTTCAATCCCAGCACTCAGAAGGCAGAGGTGGGCGGATCTCTGAGTCCAAGGCCAGCCTGGTCTACATAGTGAGGTCCAGACCAGCCAGGCCTATAATACAGCAAAACCCTGAGATGGGAAACTCTGACTTCCATAATTGCCATGTTATTTTAAACACCGTTTTCAACAGAAATGTATGGGGCATGTGAAAAATGGCCCATCACCAGGAAAGAAGGCCCTGCATGTCTACCGAAGAAGCCAACACTGCACGGCTAAGCTGCCCTCAAATCAGCTTGCTTATTTATTCTTTTTTTTTTTTTGGTCTTTTTGAGACAGGGTCTCCCTGTAGCCTCAGCTGGCCTGAAGCTCCCTATGTAGACCAGGCTGGCCTTGAACTCAGAGATCTGCCTGCCTCAGCCTCTTGAGCACTGGGATTAAAGGTGTGCGCCACCACGCTCAGCTTATTTATTCTTATTAATTAGCATATATTACTTGTATAAAATAACGGGACTCACATGACATTCTTCTATAAATTACATTTATTTAGTGTATCTGTGTGTCTGTGGGTGGGCACATGTGGATCTCTGTGAGCTCAAGGCCAACCTGGTCGACATAGCAAATTCCAAGGCAGTTGAGGCTATCGGAAGACACTAACTCAAAAAACAAAAAACAAACAGGGGCTGAACAGATGGGTCAGCGGTTAAGAGCTGAGGACCTGGGTCCAGTTCCCCACATAGCAGCTAACAATTTCTGTAACTTGAGTTCCAGGGGAATCCAACACCCTCTTTTGACCTTCATGGTCACTGTACAACATGGATGCACTTATATACATGTAGGCAATACACTCATACACATAAAAGTGATGATAAATAAAATATTAAAAAGAAACAAAAATAGGGGCTGGAGAGATGGCTCAGTGGTTAAGAGCAGTGACTGCTTTAGCAGAGGATCTGTGTTCAATTCCCAGCACCCACATGGCAGCTACGAACCATCCTTAACTCCAGTTTCAGGGGAACCTGAGGCTCTCTTCTGACCTCCGCGGCATTGCACGACACGGGTGCATTCACATACATTCAGGCAATACACTAATACACATAAAATAATAAATAAAATATTTTAAAAAGCAAACAAAAATAAGCTGGGTACCTTTAGTCCCAGCACTTGGGAGGCAGAGGCAGAGGTGGGGAGAGCTCTGTGAGTTGGAGGCCAGCCTGGTCTACATAGTGAGTCCCATGCACATGTGCCTACACATAGACATACAGGTATGATTTTGCATGGGCTACAGGGAGACCATCTCAAAAAGACAAAAATAGCCGGGCGTGGTGGTGCACGCCTTTAATCCCAGCACTCAGGAGGCAGAGGCAGGTGGATCTCTGTGAGTTCAAGGGCAGCCTGGTCTAGTAGTGAGTTCCACAACAGCTGGGGTTACAGGGAAACCCTGTCTCAAAAACAAAACAAAACAAAACAAAACAAAAAAGACAAAAATAAATAAAATTTTTTCAGGGCTTTACTGTTATTTCCTGAATATACAATTTATTGCTTTTCTTGACTACATGTAATTTTCCAGAAAGTAGTCATCTGAGAAAAATAAAGTAGCCCCATAAAAAACTGCTGAGCTAAATTACTAAACACTTACCACTAAAGTCAATACTAAAAATCAGAATAGTTGGCTTTTCTTTCTCAATTTTTCACAGGTTAAGTGATGTACCACCTTTCCTTTATTCTCCTAAAGGCATTCATGCAGACTCGCTGTTCCTTGTCCTAACATCCACTTCCCAACTCTAAAGTCCCTTCACTTAAAGACTTCCCAGAAAGCCACATTCTCACTAAAAGGTGCCTCAGTTGACTGTTTAAAACAAATTACTGATACCACTTTTTTGCATCTGTCATTGTTTGGGTATAAAGTGTTTCCCAAAAATAGTTCACTGGACATTCACCCCTCCGCTGATGTGGCTGAGAAAGTTCTGGAAACTTTAGGAGGGTGCCTTGCTAGAGGAAGCAGAGCACAGGGAAATGCCCTTCGGGGCTACCCCTGGTCCTGACCCTTTCTTGGTGTTTCTAGTCCACATGATGTGACTGTCACATGCTCCTGCAGCCATGGATCTGTCCACCATGCAATGACCCCTCCCTGTAAGTCATGATCATGGGTACTTTGGTCACACAGCTACTAGAACAGAGAAGATAGCGTCTCACATGTTTACAATTTATGTTTACAACTACAGGTACTCCATAAGTGCTTTTTGGTTTGCAACTCAACAGTGAGGCAACAACCACCCTTCCCACCCCACTGTCAGGATGTTGATCAGTACTGTACGTAAAAAGAATTTTAACAACCTTCATGAAATACAAGTGTTTAAATGGCACTTAGAGTCATACCTGTCCTGGTTAGGCTTACTCTGAAGCACTTACATTATTATTGTGAAGATATTCAATTGCACAGAGGATATGGAAGAGGTATTTTATAAGTCGTTTACTCTCTAGTCCATGACAGTAATGTTGTAACTCATCTAATACTGTATGGTCAATAAATTCAAATACCAAATGAATTTTCTTTTTTTGTCTAAAAACTTCAATCAGATTGCCCAGGTTTTCATGATGAAATTGCTATTTGACAAAAGAAAGAGATTTTTATGACATTATTTCAAACAATAATTTATTCACTTAACATCTATATAATTTTAAAAGGAAACAAATATTCTCAGCTTCTTTTCTTTCATGTCAACAAAAATTTCTCAACTCTGATATTTAAGAAACAAGCTATTTCAGCTGGGCATGGTGGCTCATGTCTTTAATCCCAGCAGTCGGGAGGCAGAGGCAGGCAGGTCTCTGTGAGTTTGAGGCCAGCCTGGTCTACATAGCAAGATCCAGGTCAGCTGGGGCTACAGGGAGACCCTGTCTCAAAAAGACCAAAAAAAAAAGAACAATTAAAAAAATAAAACAAAACCAAAAAATATCTTTTGTATTAGTAACAATCATGATCAAAATAATTCCAAGTAGTTGGGAAGATGGTTGGTGGTAAAGTGCTTGCTTTGCTAATATGAAGACCTGAGCTTGATCCCCAGAACCACATGAAAGTCAAGCAGAGTGGTGGGCATCTGTAACTCCCACAGTGGGTGGGGTGGGGACAGGCAGATCTTTGGTGGGGGGGACTCACTGGTCAGCCATTGTAGCTGAATTGATGAGCTTCAAGTTCAATGAGAGTTCCTGTCTCAAAAGTCAGGTAGAGAGGCTGGAGAGATAACTCAGCAGAGCACTGGCTGCTTTTGCAGAGGACCTGCGGGTTCAATTCCCAGCACCCACATGGCAGCTAACAACTGTAACTCTAGTTCCAGGGGATCTAGTGCCCTCTTCTGACCTCCTCAGACATTGCAGAACATGGGTACATTTACATACACGCAAGCAATACACTCATGTACATTACAAAAAAAAAGTCAGGTGGAGAGTGGTAGAGGCCAACATCTGACCCACGTACACAAGCACAGGTAAACACAAACACACAGCCCCCCCCGACAAACATACAAAATAAATTTTTACAAAATTAAAATAATTTTAAAATGTCAGAAATGGGCATGTATCAGCCTAGGAAACACATGAAGCTTAATATTTTATGTAGCTTATTCTATTTTTCAACACGTTTTCCTTTCTACAATCAGTTATGAAACATTTAACTATTTTTATCAAATTAAAAATATTCATTTGGATAAAAAAATTACTGGGTATATTTTTAATATTAGATTCACTTGAAAATTCTACTTTTTAAAAAAATTTTGCCTTTATTCCAATGGCACAATGTCAATTTTTCTACTCTTCCGTGATTAACAGACACTAAAATCCCTAAGACGTGACTAACAGAAAAATATGCCGAAATATAATGTCAGATTCCTTTCCTGTTTCGCTCTCAATCTCCCCGTCGCCCAGACGCCCCACTGCTGCTGCAATGGAATACTGGCAGCAGCGGCTCCAACCGTGGCTTTCTGACACTACGATGTTAATCACCCACCTAAGGAAAATTCTGACGTCTGTCTTGTATGTGGGTGCTGGGTATCGAACCCGGGTCCTCTGCAAGAGCAGTCAGTACTCTTAACCGCTGAGCCCTCTCTCCAGCCCCATCTAATTTAAAGGCAGGGCAGGGCTAATAGTGAAGGCAGAAAGACTCACCACGGGGGAAGGAGCTGGGTACTTTCTCAGATCAACCATGAAACCCGAGCACTCCATTATCCTTTTCAATTTGTTCAATTCTTTTTCTCTCCATTGCTAGAGAACCTTCCACAGATATGCTAACTGCTGTTAGTAATTTCATTTTATCTCACAGATAAAAATTTAGTTCAAATTGAGTTACTTTGGCAATCATTTTAGATTAGGAATATTAAGAATTCACAAAACCTCTTAGTGGAATTAGATTACATCAAATTAAATAGTGGGGTGGGTGGCACATGCCTGTAATCTGAAGACTTCAGAAGCCGAGACTGAAGGATGGAGAGTTTGAGGCCAGCCTGAGCTACACAGTAAAACTTTGTGTAAAACTGAGCATGGGCTTGAGATGGCTTACTGGGTATAGGTACCTGCTGCCAAACCTGCCAAACCTGATCATCTGAATTAGATCCCTAGAACCAAATGGTGAATGAATGTTGTGGCACATGCCTGTGTGAATTCACACACACAAATAAACATTAGTTTAAAAAATATTTAAAAAACAAAAACAGGTTGGGCATGATGGTGCATAACTTTAATTCTAGCACTCAGGAGGCAGAGGCAGGCAGACTGATGTGAGACTGAAATCAGTCTAGGTTGGTCTACTTAGAGAGTTCCAGGCCATATGGGGCAACATAGTGAAGCTCTCAAAAATAAATTAAAAAGGCAACAAAAACAGGTGGCCTATATAATCCCCAGCACTGAGGAGGTGGAGGTAGGATGATCAGAAGTTCAAGGTCATCTTGGACAGACAGTGAATTCAAGGCCAGCCTAGGCTACAGGAGACTATGTCTCAAAAATAAATAAATAAATAAATGTAAATTAATTAATTAATTAATTAATTAAAAATTAAAAAAGGTTAAGTAGAAAAAAATCTTAATCTTAAATGCAGCAGAGTTAAAAACAAGAGTGTCTGGGCAATTATCTCAATTCCATTTTTCACTTATGGTGCTCACTTGATTTACAGTGTTGTTTGGGATCATTAGGCCCTAGCTAGCCTGGATTCGCTATGGAGACCAGGCTGGCCTCAAACTCAGAGAGATCAGCCTGCCTCTGCCTCCCGAGTGCTGGGATTAAAGGCATGTGCCACCACGCCCAGCTATCTTTACCAGTTTTAACCCTCTTCACATTGGGTAGAAACAGAGCAGCTCCAACTGTCCACAGGTACCTAATGTATTATTCTTAGAAGGCAAATTGATTCATCCTAATACACAAAAAGAAAACATTTTGCTGGATATGGGGGCACATGCCCTTAATCAAGAGGCAAAGGCGGAGGCAAGAAGACCTTGAGTTCAAGGCCAGCCTGGTCTACATAGATCCTATCTGAAAAAAAAAAAAAATTTCTTTTGTATGAGATAAAGCTGAGCAAGAATACATTTTTCTTTTTTAGAATGTTTTTATTCTGAGTATTATGCCTGCATACATGAAAGTGTGCCATGTGTGTGCAGTGTCCACCCTCTGAAACTGGAGTTAAAGATGGTTGTTAGCCAACATATGGGTGCTGGGAGCCAATCCCAAGTCCTCTGCAAAAGTAGCTGAGTCATCTCTCCAGTCCCACCACCTGTTTTTCTTCATCAAAAAATAAAACATCTAGACTATACTGCCAAGATGATAAATCTTAGAGCATCTACATGCCTATAAACAGAATACTTACATTTGGAAATATTTTTTCAGTCACTAGTTTTGTACTAATCTCCTTTTTCTGCCCTCCCCAGTTCTTTCCCCCACGTTGCTCTGACACATCTATACTGCTCTGAACTCCCCTGATATGGTTCCCTATCTGTAGAAGGGAACATTTAACTAATGGTGTTTAAATACTCCTGTCACCTCAAATTCAACATTTCCAAAACTGAACTCGTTCCCAAATTATGTCTCCAGTCTTTCAATTTTCTGTAAACTGTAGCATAACAGCTACTGAACTGCAAAGCTCCCTTCAACTTCTGCCTTCCACACACTTCCAAATTTTCATGTCCTTTCATCAGGATTCTTGAATTAAACTTACCAGACCTTCTTTTCAGCCTTCTAATCCACTCTACACAGCAATGCTAGAATAATACCTAGAGTCTCTTTGCACTGAACTAAAAATCTTCACTTTCCACTTCTTTTTTTTTAAAGACAGGGAGACCCTATAGCCCCAGCTGGCCTGGAACTTACTATATAGACCAGGCTGACCTTGACCTCACAGAGATCTACCTGCCTCTGCCTCCCCAGTGCTGGGACTAAAGGCGTGAGCCAGGATACCCAGCTCCACTTTCCACTTCTTAAAAAACAACAAACAAACAAACATGGGGCTGGAGAGACAGTCAGTGGTTAAGAGCACTGGCTGTTCTTACAGAGGACCCAGGTCTCATACCCAGCACCCAGATGGAGGCTAACAACCTAACTCCAATTCCAGGGGATCTGCTGCCCTCTTCTGACCTCTGTGGGCATTGCACGACCCACATGCACTTAAATATATACACATATATATTACATAATAGATAGATAGATGATAGATATGCAGGCAATACACTTGTACACATAAAATTTTAAAAAACGGGACAGTTTTTGAGGCAGGGTGTCATGTGTCTTAGGCTGGCTTCAAATGCAAAATGTAGTAGAGGAGGATGGCAGGTCACCACCCAGTTTTTTGTGCTGCTGGGGATCAAATCTAGGGCTTTATACATGGTAGACAAGTACTCTACTAATTGAGCTATATCTCCAACCTCCAAGTTTTGACTTCGTAGCTAAAACTTTCAAAACTACCTCCAGTTCAATGCACTAATCACACCCTTCCTAATTCTGCACGGGCCAACAGCTGTTCTTTCCTTTCCACTCCTATTCTGTCATGCTTTAGTATTTCTGAACTTACCGTGTTTCCTAACTTGGACTCAGTAGTATCTCTACCTTATCCAAACTCTACACACCACTGAAAGCCAAATGCATGCCCTACTTTATCTAAGAAAACGTCACTGCCAAACAGGATTGTGTGGCATTTAATATGAGCCAATTAAAAAATTTTAAGTGTGTGTCAGCATGTGGGTATGTGCAGGTAAGTGCTGGTGCTCCTGGAGGCCAGATGTCTAATTCCCAGGAGCTAGAGTCTCAGGCAGTTGTGAGCCCCTGATGTGGGGCCTAGGAACAGAACTCATGTCCTCTGGAACAGCAGTAAGCACCCTTGACCTCTGAGCCACCTCTCCAGCTCAGTATGAGTGGCATTTATTCAGGATTATTTCTATATACCTTCCTGTCTCTCTAATTAAATTATAAAAGCCCTTGAGGAATTTTTACTTCTTTAGTCTGAGTTTCTTACACCATGTCTTACAAGAGCATACTTCTTCCCCCCCTTTTTTTTGTTTTTAGTTTTTGTTTTTTATTGTTGTTTTGAGACAGGGTCTCCCTGTAGCCACCACTGGCCTGGAACTTGGTATGTAGACCAGGCTTGCCTTGAACTTACAGAAATTCCCCTGCAAAGTGCCACCATGCTCAGCCAGAGCAAACTTATTCCATATTATACTTCAATTTTTTTAAATGATTTCCAAGTTCTGGCATAATTTTGTTACATTATACACAAACCAAATAAACCTTGCATCACCATAAAATTACAAAATGTAAACAAGGGGAGGGTTTCTTTAGCTAAGACAAGTCTTAGTATATTGGTTAACTGAAACGGTCCTTTATACATTTCATTTTTATTCTGTAACAATTTTTCTTTTGACTTACACTATTAAGGCAAAAGCTGGCATAATAATGCAGGCCTGTAAATCCCAGTACTGGTGAGCTTCAGGCCAGCCTGGGCTACACAACAAGATCCTGTCCCAAAGAAATAAAAATTCAAAACTAGATGGCAAAAGAGGCAAACCTTTAGAAACTTTATTTCTCTCGTTGCAATTTTGTTGACAGATTTCTCTGGTTTCTCATACAATATCTTAATGGCCACTATCCGCCCAGTATCCTTGTGTTTGCATTTCATGACTGTTCCATAACTTCCCTCTCCCACTTTCCCAAGGGTTTCATACATTTCCATTTTCAAGCCTGGCTTCTACTTCTTCTTAGAAATAAAGAAAATGGAAACAGATGTTTATACCTTTATTTAGTCAAGCTAAATAACGTATAGACCCAATAAACCCTTACTGTCACATATAAAAACAAAACGTGGTTGGAGCAGAGCCCTTGCGGGAGCACGGGGCTGCTTGAGCGGCTCAAGCCTCCCCGGAACGCAGGGTAACCCGAATCCAATCGCACTGTGTAGACAGGCTCTACGAAAACCAAAGCGGAATTCCGATGACCAACTAGAGGCCCCGTATACAGCGCTGTAGACGGAATTCAAGTCGCGAGCCTGAGCCCCGCAGCAGGTTTGACCACCACGGAGTCCCTGACTACAGATCACCGTCCACTAGGCCGGGGGACCCCCACTCCGGTCAGGCTCGGTTTCCAAGTGACTTCCGTCGCCCCCACGGCCGTCCCGCCCGCCCCTCAAACCCGCCGTCAGGACTCGCCGACCGTCGCGTCTCTCGCCACACCGCCGCCTCAGCACATCCAGTAGTCGCGCCGGCCGGGCACTACGCAGTCCCGGCCCGCCGACGGACCCCAAGTCGCCTCACGGCTGCCACGGCAACGGGTTGGGCGGGGCCTGGAGGCATTCCGAGCCCCAAAGCGCAAGACCGGAAACTACAAGGGTGCCGACCCGGAAGAGGTGAAACGCGGCTGCCGACGGACGGGAAGCGTCTGCGCCACTGGAGGTGGCGGTGGAGGTTTTTTTGTCGCTGGTTGAGCGCCCCCGAAGTTGATTCTGAACCCAAAAGTTGACTTGAGCCCCCAAGTTGGGTCTGAGCCTGGGATGGCGGCATTTTGACGGCAGCCCAACTGCAGTCTCCAACGTCGCCGAACCGCGTCGGGAAAGCCACCTACTGGTGTCTTGTCCTAAAAGACTGACTCAGTGCAATAACCCACCCAGAGAAGTCCGCGTGCTTAGTCTACACAGCTGAATTAACAGCCAGTAGACCTGGGGCTGCAGAGTTGGCTCAGCCGTTAAGAGCACCGGCAGCTCTTGTAGAGGACCGGGTTCAGTTCCCAGCACCCACGTAGCAACTAACTGTATCTCCGGCTCCAGGGGATCCATCGCCCTCTTCTGATCTCCACAGGCATTGCACACACGGGTGGACTTAGACACATGCAGGCAATACACTCGTATACATAAAAATATTTTTAATGTCCCATGCATCTGATTTCAACCTGAAGGCCCAACTGACCTTTAAAACGGGATAAGAAGGTCCTGGGGCCCACAGCGGAGCTCGGGTGGACCTCGTACTTGGCATGTGCTGCTCCCCTGGCTTCATTTGCAACCCCAAAGCAAAACCTTTCTTGACCATCCTGGGTATGCCTTCCATTTATTTTTTCCTCTCACTTCTAGTAAGCTTTTTTTAAAGAGTCCCTGGCTACAGGTGAAACTAAAGCTTTTTTCAGGAGAGCAGATAATTCACAGGGAGTGCAAGAACACCTCTGCATGTGAATTTAAATAACCTGAAGCGCTTTAAAAGACTCCACTCCTAGGGAACCTGATTTAATTAGAGTTCTAATTAGTATTTCGGGGGCACCTAGAGACTCAGAAGGTAAAGGTTCCTGCTGCCAAGCCTGACGACTTCAATCTTGGGGATCCATATTACAGGAGGAAACCAACTCTGGCAAGTTGTTTGACCTACACACAAGATGAAAACGTACCAAGAAAGTGTGGTATTGTGGTGTTGAGGAGTGTAATAGAAAAGTTTGCTTTAAGAACATTTTTCATGCAGGGCATGGCAGCACACGCCTTTAATCCCAGCGCTCAGGAGGCAGAGACAGGTGGATCTTTGAGTTGAAGACCAGCTCAAATAGAATTTTTTTAGTTTAAAAAGTATCTTAGAAGCTTCTCAAATGTGAGAGGAGAGGTACCTGTTTTGTTTTTTTTTTCTGTCTACATGTAAGTCATAGTCTTACAATATGACACCTGTTGTATATTTAATATTTGTTATGAGGGGCTGGAGAGATGGCTCAGTGGTTAAGAGCACTGGCTGCTCTTACAGAGGACCCAGGTTCAGTTCCCTCCCAGAACCCACACAGCAGCTAACAACCACCCATAACTCCAGTTCCAGGGTATCAGGTGCCCTCTTCTGGTACACTTCCATATATGTAGGCAACACACATACACATGAAATATGAAGGCCAGCTGGACATTGTGGGCATGCCTTTAGTCCCAGCACTAGGGAGGCAGAGGCAAGTGGATCTCTGTGAGTTCAAGGCCAGCCTGGTCTACATAATGAGTTCCAGGACAGCTGGGGCTACAGGAGACCTTGTCCAATTTTTTTTTTTTCAAAGGCCAGCCTGGGCAACTTAGGGAGACTATCTCAAAATTTATTTTTTCCTAGCGGGGTGTCATGGTGCATGCCTTTAATCCCAGCACTCGGGAGGCAGAGGCAGGGAGATCTGAGTTCAAGGCCAGCCTGGTCTACGTACTAAGTTCCAGGCCAGCTGGGGCTACAGGAAACCCTGTCACAAAAAGACCAAATTTTTTTTTTATATTTTCCTGAGACAGAGTCTCTCCATATAGCTCAAACTGGCCTGGAATTTGAAATCCTGTCTGCATCTACCAAGTTCTAGAATTATGGTTGTACACTATCACATCCCATTCAATAAAATTTTAAAGGGTTATGTAAGACCCTGGATTCAAGCCTATACCTGTTTTTTGTTGTTGTGGGTTTTTTTTGTTTTTTTGTTTTTTTAAAGAGAAAAAGGTCTAACTTTCTAAGTGCTCTAAGTGAAAATACTTAGCTTTTGGGGGCAGGAGAGGTGACTCAGCAGTTAAGAGCACTGGCTGCTGTTACAGAGGCCTGGATTTGGTTCCCAGCACCCACATGGCAGCTAACAACTGTCCAGACCTCCAGTTCCAGGGGATCTGATGCCCTCTTCTGACCTCCATGGGCACTGCACGACATGGATGCATTTACATACAAGCAGGCAATGCATTCATACACATAAACTTAAAAAGCCAGGCATGGTGGTGCACGCCTTTAAGCCCAGCACTTGGGAGGCAGAAGCAAGGCAGATCTTTGAGTTTGAGGCCAGCCTGGTCTACATAGTTGAGTACCAGGACAGCTGGGGGCTACAAGGAGACCCTGTTTCAAAAAGACAAAAAATAAATATGTAGCTTTTAACTTAGAGAATCACACTGTAAATGCACAGCTGTGGCTATTAAGAATTGATCCTAGGGGCTGGCGATACGGCTCAGCCATTAAGAACACTGGTTGTTCTTGCAGAAGTCCTGGGTTAGAATCCAAACACCCACATGGCAGCTAACAACTGTCGGTAACTCCAGTCCCAGGGGATCCAAAAGCCTCTTCTGACCTCCACGGGCATTGCATGACATGGGTACACTTACATACATGCAGGGAATTACACGCATAGGCATAAAATAAAAATTAATTTTAAAAAGTTTATGAGTTGATCCTAAATCCTTAAGGTTACTTATTTTTGGAGAAAGAATGTTTGAGGACTATCTCATGTAGCCCACGGTGCCAGCACTCCACTACGTGAGGCTATTCTTGAATTCATGTCTCCGTGAGTGGAGAGATAACCAGGGTGCACCAACACCATCCAGTTGTCAAGGCTACTTTTTAAACCGACAGTTCAAGAGTTTGAAGGAGGTATCAGGAAACGTTAGCCCTTCCTGGTTTTGTGGAACTATGGACAAGAGTAGGGCAAAGGGCTCTTACTCCATCCTCCCTTTCTTTCTAGAGCAGAATTATTCCGTGAATGCATACCAAAATGCTCAGTGCCCTGGACGCACAAAGTCCTCAAAAGAGTCAATGGACACTGGGACTAGGAAGTCTGTGACTAGAGGAACAGTGCAGGGTCAACCCTCCCCCCATCTCCCGCAGTTCCGGTCCGGTTGCACCTTCCTTGTGGAAAGCAAGCCTCCAATGAATTATCTCAGACTAGGTATGTAGCTGCCACCCATGTGTCTCCCCCAGACCTGAATCATTTTTGTAGGTTTCTGTGACAACCTGCAGCTCATTGATGTTGTGAAGTCACACCCCCACATTGCTTGACAAACACAATGGTACCCTACGGCAGGCTAATTCACAGGCCGTGGCACACACATTGAAAATCCTAAAAGAACAAATCTCCCTAGTTCCACGGGGCTCGCTCAGTCTCCGGCACTCTCACTGCTGTCCACAATTTCCATCTATCTATGGAAACCCAAGTCGCCAGCACAGGCTGTTTGGTGATGCCAAAGGACCACAACGGGCATCTTCCTTTCGCGTGCCTTGGCACGCAAGGCTGCGAGGTCCTGGGGAGCCTCCCTGTCCCACGGCCAGAGCTGGGGTGCCCCTGGAAGCAATGCAGTCTAGATTCCTTTCTGCTCCATTTTAAGCACTCAGAGTGCAAAATAAGACTGCCAGAGAGACCCCGTGGGTAAAAAAATCCCTGTGCTGGAGACCAGAGGGATCACCCCGCCAACGCTGCCCAGACCTGAACCTGGGAGCCAGGCGACGCCTTCACGTGACCCCGCCTCGTGGCGTCACAGGGACACGTGGTTCTAGAGACTTCGCCCCTTCCCCCGCAGATTGTTGACAACGCCGCCTGCGGTCACGTGACTTGACGTCATTCCCCTCCTCTCCCCCTCCTCCCTTCCTCCTCCCTCCTCCCCCTCCCCTCCTAAATCCCTGGCTCCTGAGGTGTCCGTCTCTCCCCGTCCAGCCTAACCTAACCCTGGTGACGGAGCGGGGGCAGTCTGGGCCAGGAGGCTCCCGGTCGCGGCATCCTGAGCTCTGCCTGTAGGCTCCAGCCCAAAGCACCCGCAGCGCCCGGCGTCGATCCTTCTGGAAGCCCGTCCGGAAGCCCGCCGCGCCCGCCCCGTCGGCCCCCGCGCGCGCCCGTCGCCCCGCCCCTTTCCCCCCGCGGCCGCGGTGGTACCGGCGGAGGGCGGAGGGATCCGGAGGCGGCGGAGGGAGACGTCATTGCAGGGTTGTTTGTGCAGCGTCGGCGGTCTCCGCGACCCTCAGTGATTCGGCCGCTGCGCCGGGGGGCGGGGGGGCTGCGCGGGACTCTTTTCTCTCAAGCTGACCGCGGGGCAGCTGCGGAGCATGTCGACCCCGGCCCGGAGGAGACTCATGCGGGATTTCAAGCGGTAAGGGCCGCGGGGCCGAGGCGGCGGGCTGCGCCCCCAGGAGGAGCCGGGCCTCGGGCCTCCGCGGCCCCCGTCGCCCGGTCCCCGCCCTGCCCCGCGGAACCCCGGCCGGGCCTCTCCTGCTGGGGCCGCCGGCTTTGTGTCCCGGCCCTGGAATGGGCTGGAGGGAGCACGCCAGGTCCTTCACGGCTGCAGTGGGCAGGGTGGGGTCGGCTGCGCAAGGCCCGGAGGTGGTTAGCCTATCCCCCGAAACCCGACCCTGGTCCGGCCCACCCGCCCGCCTGCCTGCGGGGACCTTGAGAACTGGCTCCGAGACCTGGGCTGGCCACCCCAGCACGGCCTGCTGGACCCGAATGAAGACCTATCTATAGCGTCGTCGGCCTGGGAAAAGGCCCCAGCCGATCCGATATTCCACCTGGGCCTCCTCTTGTAAAATAGGGTTTTGTTAGGTGTGGGGAGGGGAGGGGGGAATGACCTGTTTCTCCTCCCCCAGCTGTTTACGTTTCTGGACGAATACAGAAGCAAAGTGAGGAATTGAGCGTCCAGAATCTTCAGTTTCCTTTCCCGGGCAGACCTGCGGGGATTGAGACAAATATGTTATATAAAAACTTAGATTTGCCGCTCAGGAAGTAACCTCTCAACTTCGCCATTATAAGCTCTATGTGAGGCATTTGGGAGCCATTGTCTTGGGCCCTGGCCAACTTGATTTAATTCATTCATAGCTGCTTTTAGCCACCTTTTTTAAAGGTGGGCGTCCAGCAGTGAGTCCTTCCACCCTCATCCTTCTGTTTTATGGCCTGGTTTGCTTGAGGTGGACCAAACAGTGCGCTTAATGTGGACTTAATGCAAAGTATTCCACCACTTGAAAATGAAGATATATTTGTCTAAGTGTGTATATTGTAGATTTTTCTTTTTTTAAATGAGCAGACAGTGGCGCTTATTGGTTCCAAATTCGTCTTAAGAGTTGAAGTGCATTTGATTAGCTACCATGACTGAAATTCAAATAGAACTTCCGGCTGTACCTTTTGTTCTCTGGTTCAGTTCTGCAGTTATTCTAAATTGGACACACGGTGCCTTTGGTAGTTTTCCAAGGGTCTTCAGATTACAAGAATTTGATGATGACGACTGTTGGAGCTTTGTATTTAGTCTTCTGGTCTGAAAGAAGGATTGGCCTTAGAGCAGAGCCTTTAAAATAGACTGCTGGAAAACCTGAGCTCTTGGCCATCTTCAAAAGCTATTGCTGTCTGGAGCAAAGGAGATTAAAGTAAAACCTTTTCAGTCAGGTTGAAGTGGTAGTCAGTCATTTAGTGTATATACAGCGATTGGCTACTTGTGTGTGTTCTACAAGTACCTATGGTTAATACTCTCAGTTCTTGCTAGATTAAAGAAAGAAAATTGCTGTTTCTGTAACCGTTGAGATTGTAAACTTTTAATGGTTAAAGAGGACAGTCTGTACACATCAGTCCTTCAAGAAACAGTATCTTGATCTTACCTGTCAGAAGAGGAATGATCCCCAAGCCCTTTGGACTTAGAGATTTAATAAGTATGTTTACTCAGTTGATTCATTTAAGTCGTGGTTCATTCTAGTTTAAAGGATAACAAGGAAATTGATCTACCTGGTTTCTCAGACTAGGTGCTATAGCGCTTGACCTCCTTGATGTTCAACTTTGAAAATTGCCACTCTTGCTTTCTAGATTGCAAGAGGACCCACCTGTGGGGGTCAGTGGCGCACCATCTGAAAACAACATCATGCAGTGGAATGCAGTTATATTTGGGTGAGTTGAAATATTTAACAGGTAATAGGTGTGTGGGGACTCCTTAAGAAAAGTGTATATGTATCAAGAAGTGTGTATGTCTACGTGTGTGTGTGTGTATGAACTGTGTAGAAAAGTCTGAGGTAGAGTACTGATCTTAACATCTGAAACTCACTTCTTTTGAGAAACTGGGAATTGATACAGAGAAAGAGAAACTGGGAATTGAACCCAGGACCTTAGGCATGCCCACAAGGGCTCTACCACTAAACTATACACCCAGCTCCTGAAACACATTTGTTTGGACAGTTACATAAAATTGATGTGCTTCTTAACTGTTACTCCTGTGTTGATCCCCCCCCCCCCCAACGGGGTGTAGCTCTGCTGCCCCTGGGGTTTGAGGCTCCTGGGCTTCAGAGCTCCTCTTGCTTTAGACCCTCCTGAGCAGCTGGAGTTGCAGGAGTATGCACTGTATCTGGCTCTGTATGGTTCTCTGGTCACCCCAGGTCATTGTTAAAACTAGTATTTGAAGGGACCAGTATACCTCAGTGTAGAATGTCTAAGTGTGTTCATGGCCCTGAGTTTGACCCCCAGCACTAGAAACAAACAAGTAAATCATTGAAATTAGATGGAGCAATAAAGAAGACAAGTTGGGTCACAAAATTGCCGTACAAGTATTTATGCTCATTCTGTTAGAGCTATAAAGAAGCTTGGAACCAAAAACACCGAACTTCACTGTGGCAGGAATCTTGACCGTAGATGTTCATAGCTCAGTGTGAAATCACTAGAACATGTTAGAAGCAGTCTGGCCTTTTTTACTGTGTGTGTGTGTGTGACTGAGGGGGTTGACCTTAGCACAAGACACACTCTAGGCCAATGCTTTTATCACCAAGCTACATTCCCAGCCTGTTCGAAATTTTATTTTGAGATGGGGTCCATAAATTGCTCAGGCTATCCTAACACTTAGGGTGGTCCTGCCTCACCTTCCCTAGTACAGGGCCCACAGGCATGGGCCGCCATACTTGATGCTTTTAACATTTATTTATTTATTGGGCCTTTTGAAACACAGTCTCCTTGTAGCCCCAGCTGGCCTGGAACTCACTATATAGAGCAGGCTAGCCTCATCTCACAGAGATCCACTTGCTTCTGCCTCTGGAATGCTAAGATTACAGCATGTGCCACCATGCCAGGCTCTAAATTTTTTTTAGATTCTGTTTATTATTTCATATGTGTACAGCTGTGAATGTGGCACCCGTGAGGCACAGCACTGATGCAAAGGTCAGGTGACAACTTTTTGGGAAATATTCTCTCCTTCCACCATGGGTTCTTGGGGTCAAACTCAGGTCATCAGGCTTGCACAGCAGTGGCTTTTACCAGTCTGGTCCATTTTGCTGACCCTGCGTATGCTTTCTCATTTAAAACTTTATTTTTTATTTATTTTTTTGTCTTTTTGAGACAGGGTCTCCCTGTAGCTGTCCTGGAACTTGCTATGTAGACTAGGCTGGCCTCCAACTCACAAAGATCCGCCTGCTTCTGCCTCCCAAGTGCTGGGATTAAAGGGTGTGCCACCATGCCTAGCCAACTTTATTTTTTTTTAAGATTTCTTTTTTTTCCCTGTCTTCTTGAGACAGGTCTCCCTGTCTCAACTCACTACATAGACCAGGTTGGCCTCAAACTCAGATCTGCCTGCTGAGTGCTGGCATTAAAGGCATGTGCTGCAATGCCCAGCCTTAAAGATTTATATTATCTGTGTGAATGTGGATGTGCATGAGTGTGGGTACTCCTGAAGGTCAAAAGAGGGTTCCAGAACTGGAGTTACTGGTTTTGAGCCACCCCATGTGGGTGCTGGGAACTAAATTCAGGTTTTGTGGAAGAGCAGCAAGCGTCCTTAACCACTGAGCCAGGTCTACAGCTCTGCTTTGAAAGTTAGGCCTTTGTTTTCCTGAATCTGTTTTTCTCATTTAAAACTAAAGAAGGAGCCAGGACTGGTGGCGCATGCCTTTAATCCCAGCACTCGCCTTTAATCCCAGCACTTGGGAGGCAGAGATAGGTGCATCTCTTGAGTTCGAGGTCAGTCTGGTCTACAGGCCAGCTGGGGCTACTGGGAGACCTTGTCTCAAAAAGACCAAAAAATAAAGCTAAAGAAGGAATATTTTCATAAACAATTCTGAGTTGCCATGGAATAATTTACAAGAGTCTACATTTAGAAACTAGTTGGGGGAGTGCTGGAGAGTAGGCTTGGTGGTTAAGAGCACTGGCCTCTTGTAGAGGACCCACGTTTGGTGCCCCACACACACTTTGCAGCTAACAACTGACCTTAACTGCACTTCCAGGGAATCTGACACCCTCTTCTGGCCTCTGCAGGCATTGCACACATGGGTGCACTTATGCCTACAGGCAAAGCACATAAAAATACACATAAAAATAAGAAATCAAAAAAATTTAAATAAAAATTAGCAAAGGGCTGGGACTGTAGCTCAGTTGGTAGAATGCTTTCCTGGCATGCACAAAGCCCTGGGTCTGATCACCTGTAATCCTGGCACATGGAAGGCTAGAGAAGGAGGATCACAAATTAGAAGTTAGGTTGGGCTATATAGTAAGACCTTGTCTCAAGAAAATAAAGAACTGGGTGTGTTGGCTCGTGCCTGTGATCCCAGCACCCAGAAGACTGGAGCAGGAGGGATAGCTTCAGGGTTGAGGCCAGCCTAGGCTGTGTGATACTCTTTGTGTGTGTTACATCCCATCCGTTTTTAATTATAGTTTGACTTTGATTTTGTTTTTGTTCTGAGACATAGTCTCACTGTGTATCCCTTGCTGGCTTGGAACTCAATGTGAGACCAGGCTGGCCTTGAACTTAACAGAGATCCACCTGCCTCTGCTTTCTGAGTGCTAGGACTAAAGGTGTGCCTAATCATGTCTGCCTAATTCTGTTTGAGACAGGGTCTTGCTCAGGCTGGCCTCATACTATGTATCCAAGGCAGTCCTCATCTGGACATCTCTTCAGCCTCTTACGTAGCTGGGTTTGCAGGTGTGTGCCACTGTGCCCGCTGTTGTGCTCTTTTTGCACTTAAAACATAGACAATATATATAGTGAATCCACCTTAAAAGAAAGCTTTGGAAACGGAAGTTATTTATGCTTCTATCAGCTTTTATCCAAGGCTAAGGTGTTAGTAAACTACAGTGTCTTTACAACTCTACATGTCCTCAGAATTAGTCCCTTCCTTTCAGTTTTGCAGTTTATCCTTCCATTCTTGAAGATAGAAAAGGCAGAATAAAAACCACCTTTTAATCAAAAATCTTCTTGTTTTCAGACCAGAAGGGACACCCTTTGAAGATGGTAAGTTGTTACTTTTTTCTATAGTCTTATTAAAAGGATGTGTTTGGGTTGGAGATTGGAGGACCCACATTACCTATTTGAAGTCAGGTTCTACTGGTTTTGAGCCAGTCAAAACTAAGTAAAGCTGGGCTGGAGAGGTGGCTCAGGGGCTAAGAGCACCAGAGCTATTGCTATTCTGCCAGAGGAACTGGGTTTGACTCTCAGCATCCACATGGTGGCTCTCCCCCTCCCTTCAGGCTTCTTGGGCTCTACACACATACCAGTAAACATTCAAAACATTTGTACAGTTAACTCATTGTTTTGAAAAACAAGAATTTATAGCTCACAGGGATTACTTTGGGAAGTCCTGTCACCAGTCCCCTGCTGCATTCGTAGTTGTCTGTAGACCTCAGGTCAAGATGGTGGGTCTGTGTTATGAGCAGTTTGTGCTTGGTGACCTTGTAGATAATGACCAGGAGGGCAATCCTACTTCTCTACTATAATGTATATTGACAGGGTCTTGATAAAATTTTTCTTTCATTCTCTCTCTTTTCCTGTGCTGGGATCAAACTCAAGTCTTTGTATGTTCTAGGCATGCCCTCTACTGCTGAGCAGTACTCCTAGTCCTGAGCCACAGCTACCCATGGCTTCACCACTTAGCATTTAGCACCCAGAAGCATTCTTCATAGTCATTGCATCTCCAGTTGGGTTTATCTACCAGGGGCTAGGAAAGTGGGGGACTCGTTCTAACACCAAGCCATAATTCAATCTATCAAATTGATTGGAAGCAGGTACTTAAAGATTTTCACTAATTATAGCAGAAAAGTTTTTTCTTCGGTTAAACAGCTTTGCTATAATTATCAACGTGACTTCAGAATTAGTCTGTTGAGGGTATTTGACAAGACCACTGACTGCAGAACTATTTTAAGGAGATAGCCTCCAGGTCTGAGAAGGGGAGGTGGTTAAGGGAACAATGATGTCTTTGGGACCTGTTAAAGAATAAGGTAGAAGTCTTAGAAATGCTGCAGAATGTCATGGCATCTTTCTCTCTCTCTCTCTCTCTCTCTCATTTTCTTTTCTTATCTTTTTTTTTTTTTTTTTTTTTTTTTTTTTTTTTTTTTTTTTTAACTAAGTATGTGCCGTACTTACCAGCATCTGTTTTATGTAGCTGTTAGGAATTGAAGGAGGTACTTAAAGATTGTATAGGGCTTCTCAAATGTGGTCCATCCACAAACCCCTCAGGGACTCTGAATTGTTGTGACCATATGATCAAAATTGTATTCGAGTGCTGTGTTAATGCTGACAGCATAGAAACAGCGGAGCTAATTTGGCATCTAAGAGCAAATTGCACTTGTGGCACCAGGCTAGCTGTTCTTTGCATGTTAAAATGGCTAGGTGAAATTGAAATTACTAGTGTTAAATTCTGACCTTTCCATTTACCTCGTTAATATTCTGTGTGATGAAGTCAGAAGTATTTGGAAAGCTCCTTTTCTGCATAGCAAAGTAGGATAGCTGTCAGAAAGGAAAACACTTCTGTAATTGAGTTGTGATTTGAGCTGCTGATTTTTTTTCATGGAACTTTTTCTTAATAGACTATCTGCTTGGGAGGCAGAGGCAGGCGGATCTCTGTGAGTTCAAGCCAAATGTCTGCCGGGCATGGTGGTACACATCTTTGAGAGGCAGAGGGCAGAGGCCGGTGGATCTTTGTGAGTTCCATGTCGGCTGGGGCTAAAGGAGATCCTGTCTCAAAAAGACCAAAAAAAAGATCTAATAAGCTTGGAGAAATAGAGTGTTCTTCTTGTGGCCTTGGGTTTGGTCCCTAGCACCACCAGAGACCAGAAACAAAACTAAGATTTGTCCAAAGTACAATGGATTTTAATGTAACCGAGTATAAAAAGTTTGTTGATAAGGTTTTAGATTCTACATTGCAACAAATCTGTAAAAAATTAATTTTCGTGCACTATCAAGCAGAAGTGATTGCTGAAAAGGCGATGGGAACCCTTTTCCAGTTTTGTTTGTGTGAGGCCAGATTTCTTCATGTACTGAACTTCAATCAGAACAGCATGTTGTGGCAGACTGAGTAGAGGAAGTAGATAAGAGAATCCAGCTGTCTCCTTGAAAACCAATCAGTGAGGAGGACTGAGAAGTTGGAGAACAACAGTGTACATCGTTACAGTTACTCTAATTTCTCTATGTTATTGAGGTTGCTCTGTAGTGGGCTTGCAGTTGGGTTTTAATGAATTACTAGTTAAGGTTTTCTGAGTTACTTTGGGCAGTACTGGAGAGTGAACTGATCTGTCCTGTGTGCTTGGTGAGCACTCTACCACTGAGCTGCCATTGCCCCATTCCTTTATTTTGAGATAGGGTCTTCCAGAGTTGCTCAGATTGGCCTATCACACCCCCAAGCCCCTCTCCTTAGCCTCCGCAGATCAAACCCCAGGTTTTATACACATTCTTAGGCAAGTATTCTACCCCTGGGCTGCATCTTCAGCCCTCAAATTACAGTTCCTAATACAAGTACCCAAGTAGGTTGGGGATTTAAGCCCAGGGTTCGGTCCTTGGCTCCAAAAAAGAAAAAATAACAAGTACCCAAGTATACCACCAGTGGCTTGTTGGAGGGTGTCTATACTGAAACACGAAAGCCAGCTGGTTCAATTAAGAGATTTTTTGCAAACTAGTTATTAAGCCATTGCTTTAATTGATATTTTTAAAAAGTTTTTTTTAGAATCAAAGTGATTACACTGAAATACCTCATTTTCTGATAGCTTGCTGCTGTGCACTGTCATGCTCTTGAAGTTCTTGCTCTGGTGAGGTTTTATGGGTGTGCTGTCTGTACCTCATTCTGGTTTCATGTCCCTTGAATTCATTTTTTGGCCATGATAGGACAAATATTGTTTACTGGTGCTGAAACCAAAATGCTTTTGAAGTTTTATGTGGCATAGCTATTACTTTTTAAAATCAGACAAATTAAAATAAAAACTTTAGACCTGTCAGGGCTGGGAGTGGAGCTCTGGAAGAGCACTGGTGTACAGAAGGCCCTTGGTTTGATCCTCAGCACAGGATTCACAGCCAGCTTCAGTAATTTTCAGAGTTGCTGTATTATCTTAGTATGTGTTAGAAATGTGAAATCACTATATTGGGTCTCCCTGATCCCACATTTCCAAGCAACAGCAACAAAAAGGGTAAAGGAAGGAGAGTTGTATTGCAAACATGAGCAGTAAAGGTGTAAACTATTTCACTAAATGAACTAATGTTGATAGATTGAAGCCAGGGCTTGGAATTGAGACTGACAAAGGAGTGATTTGGTTTAAACTCTATTGTGGGGTCCTCCCTCCCCTCGTGGGTCGTTGGCCACTGATCCACGAGAACAAAGGGAGCAGAAGCGACAAACGGGGTCAGAACAGCCAGTGAGTACTGACGGAAGAAAGCCCTTCTGGGGAGGCAGATTCAGTGATACAGCTCCAGACTCAGTGAAACAGCTCCGTTTATTCAGTGAGGGTTAGGGAGTTACAGTGTGGAGGCAGCAGCCAAAGCTTCAGCTGATAGGTGCTCATAGTATGCTTTATTTACATGTCATAGAGGGATCCTATCAGCCGACTATGGGGCAATGCCTAATTATCATATAGAAAAAACCTGGGGGTAGTTTTTACTCCAGGTACCTATGCTAAAGGTCATGTTCCAAATAAGATCAGGCATCCATGCTTGGCAGCACTTTCCAGGTAAATCAGGCAGAGAGCAGGAGGCCCCTGCTGAGAAAGGGAGTCCTTCCATATGGCCCCGAGCCTCTTGGAGCTATCCAGACATGGAGGACTACAACCCTAGCAGCAGGGTCCCCCAACACCCTTTTAATAAGGAAAGAACTTTACAGAAACATAAAATAGCTGAGTTTTGTTTACTTCATTAGGAGTAAGTTCCAACTGATTTTGTCCAAAGAGTTAAGTAGTTGGAGGACTGCTCACCTGTCACGTGGGTTTCTTCTGAATAAAAAGTTGTCCTCTGACCTCTATGTACACTATGAGCCCACCGACACGCAGATCATTAGTAAACACTAACAAAAACTAATAGTTGTTATTTTTTGGAAATAAATTGGAACTAGAGTTAATGTCCTTAACTTGGTGCAGTCTGTACAGGTTGACTTTGTTTCAGGTGCATGATTTTTTTTTTTTGTCTTTTTGAGACAGGGTCTCCCTGTAGCCCCAGCTGTCCTGGAACTCACTATGTAGACCAGGCTGGCCTTATACTCACAAAGATCCGCCTGCCTCTGCCTCCCAAGTGCTGGGATTAAAGGCATGCACCACCACGCTCCGCTTAAATGCTTTTATACTGACATAGACCAGAGTTACAAGCCTAATGATTGCACTAAAACCTAATGATTCTGTGCATAGTCTCATGAAGGGAACAGAAACATATTTCTCATTAGCACCCATGCCCAGTCTGTCCTTTGCCAGGTGGTGGTCAACCCCTCAGAGTCCTTTGGTGCTTCCTCCTAAGCTGTAATAAGCCATTTCCAATTCCTTGAGTATTTAAATTTTAGTAGCCAGAGGGGCTTGGTTGCCTTCCAAAAATAGGGCAGTTGGGGCTGGTGAGCCGGCTCAGTGCTGCATAGGCCAACAACCTGAGTTATGTCCTTGGAACCCAAGTAAAGGAGAGAGGGGAGAACCAACTCCAGAGTTGTCCTCTGACCTCCATATGCACACCGAGATCATACACATCAAACTAAATAAATAAAATATGAACACTAACAGTCCCACTGATAGTACATTAAAGTGTTATTCTCCATGTGCTTCTTGCCAATGTTGCGTGTTACCCGTCTAACACAGAGATGTATCAGCTGTGGGCTGGATATGAAGAAGAAAGGTGTAATAGATGTTTTGTGTACTAGGGTAGTGCATTCATGCTAAGGTTTGCGTGCAAAAACTGGTAGGGGATTGAGAATGAAATGATAAAGGTGTTTAGAGGTAATGCTTGTCTTTACTAAAATTTATTTGGTTTGTTTCTATCCAGGTACTTTTAAACTAGTCATAGAATTTTCTGAAGAATATCCAAATAAACCACCAACTGTGAGGTTTTTATCCAAAATGTTTCATCCTAATGGTAAGTATCGGTTTACTAAATTTTGCAAGTGATGGGGTGAGGGTATAGTGGCCTCAGTGAGGGTCTGTCCTCAGTTCCACTTCCCTGTCAATGGTAGCTACGATATTGTTGCTGGGATCTTAGGAAGGTTCCAGTTTGAGGTAAGGTTGTTTTAACAACTAATTTGTGAATTTAAAGTAGACATGTATTTGCTTGAAGGACAAATTTTTCATCTGAAATTTAGCTTTAAAAAAACACAGATGAAGCCAGGTGTGGTGGCACACGTCTTTGATCTCGGCACTCGGGAGGCAAGTGGATCTCTGTGAGTTCGAGGCCACCCTGGTCTACATAGTGAGTTCCAGGCCAGCTGGGGCCATAGGGAGACCCTGTCTCAAAAAGACCAAAAAGAAAAAAAAAAAAAAAACTGCAATCCACACAGATGTGCTGGGCGTGGTGGCGCACACCTTTAATCCCAGCACTCGGGAGGCAGAGGCAGGTGGATCTCTGTGAGTTCAAGGCCAGCCTGGTCTACATAGCGAATTCCAGGGGAGACCCTGTCTCAAAAACAAAAACAAAAAATGCAGATTTAAATCAGGCACAGTGGCTCAGACCTTTAATCCAAGCTCTTAGAGGGAGACAGGGGCACTCTCATCTCAACAAGGCCAGCCTGGCCTACAAGGGAGTTTCAGGCCAGGTGAGGCTACAGGGAGACCCTGTCTCATTTTTTAAAAAAAAAAAAAAAAAACAGATTAAAGCAAACCAGGCTTGAAAACTCAATACCTGGGAGGTCTCCACCTCCCAAAGCAGGCTCACAGCCAGCCTAAACATCATGAGAACCCTGTCTCCCAAAACAAAAATACAGAGTTGGGGCCTATAGGGATGGCTCAGCTGGTAAAGGCACCTGCTGCCAAGCCTGACAACCTGAGTTCAATCCCCAGGGCCCACATAGTGGAAAGAGAGAACTGAGTCCCAAAAGTTGTCCTCTGACCTCCACGTGGAGCACACATGCACACACAGGAGTGCATGCGTGAATGCTGGGGTCTCATGTCTCACACACACTGGCCTTCAACTTGCTGTATAGCTGAGGATGACCCTGGGAGGTTTTACATAGGTGTATAATGGATGGACCATGCTATTTTCCCATTTTAATTGTACAGTTCAATGAGTTTTAGTATAGTCATAGGACAACCATTTAAATGACTGGTTTCATTTTCCCTTTCAGAAAGATAACAGCATTCTAGACTTTTTTTTTTTTTGGAAACAGAGTCTCCCTGTAGCCCAGCTGGCCTGGACCTCACTATGTAGACCAGACTGGCCTGGAACCCACAGAGATCCACCTGCCTCTGCCTCCCAAGTGAGAGGCGTGCACCACCACGCCCAGCTTCAATGCACTCTTAATAACACACGGCCCTTCTACCAGCATTTCAACTTTGTCCTTAAGCTGCATCCCCAGTCCTGTGTATGTATACTTTTTCTTTGATTGGTAAATGATGTTTTGATATATAGATACTCTTGTGTTTCACTTACCTGTTTACCAGTTGAGAGACATTTGGACATAAGCTACTCTTTACATCTCAAAAAATCAAAACTAGTTCAGAATTTTAAAATCATATTTCTTTGCTTTGAGGGTGCCAAGTTAGTGGGTCTGTGGGATATACCATGAGCAGCTGACTGCTACATTTAGATCAGAGATCTGGACTACAGTTAACAGGCGTGGTGGCGCATGCCTTTAGTCCCAGCACTCAGGAGGCAGAAGCAGGCAGATCTCTGTGAGTTCAAAGTCTCAAAAAGACCAAAAAAAAAAAAAAAAAAAAAGTTGCAGTTTTTCAGAGCTTGAGACTATTGGAACAGTGGGGTAGTTTTTTATTTTTGATGCTGTAGATTCAACCCAGGACCCTGCACGTGTTAAGTGGGCACCCTATCACTGAGCTACACCCCTGGCCTAAAATAAGGAAATGAAACGGATTGCCGTATTGTGTCCATTGAAAAAAAACCTACCTCTCAGGGGCTGGAGAGATGGTTTAGCAGTTACGGGTACTGGCTGCTCTTGGAGAGGACCTAGGTTCAGTTCCTGGCACCCACATGGCAGCTCACAATCATCTGTGACTCCAGTTCTACTGGATCCCACACCCTCCTAGCCTCTTCGATTTTGCATGAACATGAGACACTTCTCCACACACAGGCAAAACACTAACTCACACAAAAAGTGAATTTTTTTTATTGAGCTGTTTTTTTGTTGTTTTTTTGTTTGTTTTTTTGGTCTTTTTGAGGCAGGATCTCCCTGTAGCCCCAGCTATCCTGGATTCACCGTAGAGACCAGGCTGGCCTCAAACTCACAAAGAGTGCTGGGATTAAAGGCGTGTGCCACCACAACCAGCCTTACTGAGCTTTTTAATTTCACACAATTTGTACTCAAATCCAGACCCCTCCTCCATCCATGCCTCCCTATCCCCCAATGGAACCCTATGCCAAGGAATTTTTTTTTTTCTTTTTGAGACAGGGTCTCCCTGTAGCCCCAGCTATCCTGGAACTCACTATGTAGACCAGCCTGGCCTTGAACTCACAGAGATCTGCCTGCCTCTGCCTCCTGAGTCCTGGGATTTCCTCTTAGGTGTGTTCCACCATGCCCGGCCATCCAAGGAATTTTTTAAAGAATCTTCCTCTCAAGCCCTCTGAAGATGGGCAATGAATCTTAGTTTAAGACCAGATTCCCTGTAGGACAGAAGGGCTTAGCTACTGCCTAACACTTAGAACTTCTGTCGAGTATTCTGTTGATGCTAAAGCATCCTCTTGCTGTAGATTTGACAGTGGACTCATACCTGACATCAGTGTTGTCTTTGCAGTGTATGCTGATGGTAGCATATGTTTAGATATCCTTCAGAACAGATGGAGCCCAACATACGATGTATCTTCTATCCTAACTTCAATTCAGGTGAGTGTGTATTCAAATGTATCAATTTTTCAGTATTCTCTGAAATCTAACCAGTTCCTTTAGAAATCAAAAGACCAAGTAAAGGAGCTTACCAGTCAGCACCCAGGGAAAAGAGTGCAGCAACTGGGGCAGGAACTCACCACCTCTCTGCACTTTGTTAGTTGACCAGATGAGAGCTAGTCCACAACCTGTTTTCTTTTTTTCAATACAGGGTCTCATGTAGCTAGGCTGACCACATTCATTATGCAGTCATGGGTGTCTTTGAACCTGATCCTCCTTCCTCTACCTCCCAAGTGCTGGGATTACAGGCATGTGCTACTAAACTTGGTCACAGTCTGTTTCATAATCTTGTATAACATGCTGTCACAGGTCAGACTTACCCATGCCGGATAGCCAGAAGCTGTGGAGAAAATCTTAGGGAGAAGTAAAAACGATAACTTAGAGGACCATAGGAGGCCAGGCATGGTGGATCTCTGAATTTGAGGCCAGCCTGGTCTACATAGTTCCAGGTCAGCTGGGGCTACAGGTAGACCCTTTCTCAAGAAAGACCGAAAAGAAGGAAAGCCATAGGGATCTCTAGAAACTGCCAGGACAGAGAGAGAGAGCCATTGTGTTTGTTTGTTTTTTTTTAATGTGTATGAGTATATTGCTTGCATATGTGTGTGCCCATGTTACACAATGCCCTTGGATTCCCCCAGAACTGGAATTATGAATGGTGGTTAACTGACATAATGGATGCTGGGAGCCAAACCTGGGTCTTCTGCAAGAGTAGCTAGTGCTCTTGACCGCCAAGCCATCTCTCCAGCCCTCCAACTTACTTATTTATTTACTTAACCTTTTTTAAAAAATTTTATTTATTTTTATTTTATGTGTGTGTTTTGCCTGTATGTAGGTAAGTGCACCTGTGTTGTGCAGTGCTCATGGAGGTCAGAAGAGGCTGTTGGATCCCCTGGGACTGGAGTTACGAACAGTTGTTAGCTGCCATGTGGGTGCTGGGGTTCGAACCCGGGTCTTCTGAGCCATCTCTCCAGCCCCTCAAACTTTTTAAAAAGAGACAAAGAAAAAGAGACAGCCAAAGAAATTGGGGAGGTGTTTTAGCTATGCAGGTTATTGTTTGATTTTGAGATAGGGTCTTCCATGTAGCTCCAGCTGGCCTGGGGCTATGTAGAACTATGTAAACCAGGCAGGCCTCCATCTCAAAGAGATCTTCCTTTTCTGAGTACTGGGACTAAAGGCATGTTCCACCATGCCCCCAGAATAATTATGATCATGTCTTAAGATTTTTTTTCCTGTCCTACTTTATTATGGTCATTGTGATTTTGCTTTTTTATGTGTGTTTTGCCTGCATGTGTGAATGCAACACATGCATGCAATGCAGGGGAGGCCAGAAGAGGGTGTCAGATACCCTGGAACTGGAGTTAGAGGCCGTTAGGCCAGGGCTTCTGGAAGAGCAACCGCTGCTCTTAAGCCCTGAATGATAGGTGGCCCCTACCTACATTTTGGTACTAGACCATTGTTCCTTGTTTGCTGTGCCGCTACTCTCCACTCCTCACTCTCTGGCTATCTTTCCTCCCTCAAGAGAGTCCACTTTTGCTGCCTTCATGGTCAGGTTCATGTAAATCTAGACTCCAAATATCAGAGCAGTCTGATACTGGCTCACCCCTTGGCCCATCACCCTCTGTTCTCTCGTCCCCTCTGGTCATCTCACAACTTCATTTCATTCCTTTCCTGCTGAATGGAGGTGTTTTATTTATCAAAAGGAAATAGATCTGCTCCTCATCTGTTTCCAGAGTGACTGCAATACTACAGTTCTATGAGCGTGGCTTAGTGGTTCTAGAACCATGCATCTGATGGGCCTGAGGCCTGAGCACACAGAAATTACCATAGAAAATAAGGGATACTAAAGCGTTCACTAAAGTATTTACAGCTATTACAGTTTAGCCAAATGAAGCTGTTTATTTCCTGGTTAATGAGAAAGTCTTTGTATGCTAAAGAATACTGTTCTAGCTGACTTCCCTGAAATTGGCCTTCTTAAGACATTTGGGAATTGTTTTGAGAGCTTATGTTTTTAAGCAGCAGGAAACCTTTTCTCAGCAATTTCTGAAAGTATTTAGACCTAAAAGCATTTGGCCTAGGACCCCCAGAAATAATCTGGGAGTTTTGTGTAATTTTTTTTTTCTTCTTTTTTTTCCTGGTCCTCATCTGACTCTGAAAGTCTCTTCTCTCTCTCCTAGTCACTGTTGGATGAACCAAATCCAAACAGTCCAGCCAATAGCCAGGCAGCACAGCTTTATCAGGAGAACAAACGAGAATATGAGAAGAGAGTTTCAGCCATCGTGGAGCAAAGCTGGAATGACTCATAATGGACACCGGGCCTCATCCTTTTCATCATCGTTGTGTATAATCACCTCCCAGTAGAAAGGCTAACACATTTTAAGTGCCACAGGTTTTAAGGATTCTGCAGAGAAAAAAGCAAAAGTCCTTCAGTTTAGAACCTACAAAGCTCGTGTATCTTGGTTAATGTACTTTTTATTGCATGGTGTGAACTAAGTTATTGCTGCATAAATTTGTAATATATCCTGTTTGTATTTTTTTCCAAGTGTATAATGTTGGTGTGGAGTTTTCATGACAGAATATACACATTTTGTAAATCTGTACTTTTTTCAAATATTGAATGCCTTATTTTTGAATTCTTTAGATTTTTAAATTGGAGAAAAGCACTTAAAGTTTTTTATATATGAATATTACATGTAAAGCTGTTAAAATACATAACTTCAGTGCAAGAGACTTTGTCACTTATTTCCTTATCTGTGCAGGAGGGGTTGAGAAGTCTCTCGCTCTCCATCAATTGATACCTTCACTCCCAATTCCAAAAGAACATACTTCTATTTTATCAAGAAAATCTTCAAATTTGATTCTAAATACCAATTCTGATCTCCCAACTTTATTTCGAGTGTACCTCTGTTAGTTTTCAGTTGAGTTATTATAGACATGACTGGTTCGATTCTGTCCAACTCTGTATTTGGGCCACTTGTTAACCTGTGTCACTCATTGCTAAACTGTACCTATTGCGACTTCACAATTGGCACGTCTACCATGAGCAGGGGACTGCTGTGATGACTCTGCTGCTTGGTAGCCCTCTCAGAGACTTGATTAACAAAGTCAAACCATCAATGTTACCACAAATTCATGCTGCAGTATTAGCAATGAATTGGTTGCATTGGTTTGAGCAAGGCAGATATTTGGAATGAATTTTGGTGTAATTTAAATATTCGAAAACTACCTTTTGATGCACCTGCGTTATCTGTTTGTTCTGGGGAATGTGTGAGCACCAGGGCCTGCCGAGTTGCTTTCTCATCTCCTCAGTTGTATAAAGTTGTATGCATCTTAGTTTACTGGATAAATTTAAAACACAGTATTGTAGAAAGCTAATTCAAAGCTATCCTTTGCCTTCAAATAGTATAGAAAATGGAAAATATACAAGTAAATTCTGTTAAACCGTTTGTGCAGTCTCTCTAGTAGTTGCAACAACTGTCTCAGTAATCCTGAGTTTCTTGTCACGCCCATGTCAGCCTTCTAGAATCAAACTAGTAGCTTCTCTGTTGGAAGATGGGCTTGCAGAGTGTCACAGCTTCTAAGTCCATGAGCAAAGCCTGAAACGGGAATGCGTAAAAACCGGTGTTTCCCTCTAAAAGTTACTAAGCTAGGCACATACCTGTTATCCAGCCCTCGAGAGGCATGGTGGCGCGCACCTGTTATCCCAGCCCTTGAGAAGCTGTGGAGGATCGTGAATTTAAAGCCAGCCTGGGATACATAGCAGGACTTTTTTAAAAAAACAATTTGAGAGTATATAGGCTTAAAAGATGTAAGGAAGGGTTCAGTCACTGAAATGACCCATAAAGCTTTCTTTTTAAAGAAAACTACTCTATGGTTGTACGAAATGTGTGATGTACAGTTTAGCTCTAGAACTGCTTCACTCTGAAGACTCCTCCATTAAATAAGCAGTAGCTATGAGGGTCTCTTATTAAATGCTGTTTGGATACCGTTTCAGCACCTGTGTTTATCCTTAAACCCATTTTTCCTTGTCCAGTTGAAAACTAGGAACATTTGTATTGATAAGTTGTGGGAATTATCTTTGCAAGGAGACAGGTGAGTGAACTCTGGTGCTCAGTTCACAACGTACAAGCATCTAGTACCTGGTCCATACAACTTCTGGAGGAAATGCTCAGAAATGTTCTCTTAGTAACTCATGTTTTTGTTTTTTTTTTCCCTTTGGCCTTAGAACAGCATCCTGTTTGGCTAAGTACCAGATAATGAATCTTCAATAGATAAGGTCATGACAAAAATATTCATTTGGCTGTGCAAGGTGGCACACACCTTTTATCACAGCTCTCAGGAGGCAGAAACCAGGTATAGAAAGATGAAGAGGCTCAGGCCAGGCAAGATGAAGCTAGTCTGATCTATTAAACCATCAAGGGATATTTAGGGCAGTGTGTTTACTTTGGATATTCTACTGAACTTTGTTCATTCTAGTTTGTGGGAAAACTTCAATTGGTAATTAGACTTGTATCTAATCCAGTGAAAAGGTATAACTTTCACAGCAGGTGAGATGGCTCAGTGGGTAAGATTGCTTGATGCCAATCCTGATGACCCTGGGACCCACCTGGAGAGAACCGACTCCTGGAAGTTGTCCTCTGACCTCCACACACACTGACAAACATGAATGTAATTTAAGAAAACCTAAGAACTGAGCTAAACTGTAGGTGGAAAAGAAGCTTTGGTGATACGGAAGTCTGTTTTCTGCTCAGTTTATTAGTACTGTGTTTTTTTCTTGTTGGTTTGGTTTGGTTTGGTTTTTTGGTGATACTGAGGATTGGACCAAAGTCTTGTGAGTGCTGGACAAGCGCTCTACCAATGAGCTACACGCTCAACTCCATTTAGTAGTCGTTAGGAATAGCACTGGGAATAATACAGGTGTAATTTAGTCCTGTAATTCCAGCACTTGGCAGGCTGAGGCAAGCAGATCACTTGAGTTTGAGGCTAGCCAAGCTTATACAGGGATGCTGTCCCCCAGAGAGGGGGAAGGGGGATTGGGGAGAGCAAACAGCAGGACTGAGGTGAAGCTGGGTAAGAGTTCTGCTAATGTATATTACCTGGCCCTAGGATGTTTTGGTATTCAATTTTCCTAAATTTGGGAAGGAAGGGTGGGGATCATATTTTGGGGAGCTAGATGATGTTTATCACAGTTCCTTTCCATTGTGTTCAGCAATGCCAAACCCCCTTGGGATCTGTCATATGGATTAAATATGTAGATAGGAAATAACAGTGAGCTCAAGCTGTTGAAGGTGTCCTCCGTAGGGCAGAGGCCTGCCCAAGATGGTAGCTCTACTCATCTAGTTAGGGAGGAAATGAGTTAATACCTGATAGGGGAGATAATTTCCAATCCAGTATATGACAAAGCAGGGATACTAACAGTAATCTTTCTGAAAGGATTGACCATTCTCCATTGACCAAAGGAAGTAATGCATGTGCCACTTTTAGTAATTCTCTCCACCAGAACTATTTTTAAATAATCTTAGTAATGTTTTAGCTGGGTGTGGTGCACACCTTTAATCCAGCACTTGGGAGGCAGGGACAGATCTCTGAGTTAAAGGCCAGCCTGGTCTACATAGTTCTAGGCCAGCTGGGGCTACAGGGAAACTCCATTTCAAAGAGACCAAAAAAATAATGATCTTAGTAATGTCTTAAGGCTTTAATGTTTTCTCTGTTCATGGACCAGAGAATAGGTTTTGCTTGAGCCAAAAAATGAATTCGCTGTGTCATTACTGGGTTATGTCAGCATCTACACACAGCTCAACATAGTTGAAATCTCAGGGCTCCAGCCTCTTAGGCATATAGAAAGTTCAGACTTGGATGTGGAATGACTTAACTGCCGTTTACAGCATAACGGGCTGCATGGTGCTTAATCTAACAGCGACTTGGGGAAGGCCTTGAAGGATGCTTCTTCGCTCAGCGTTCTTTGACACTTAGGGTCTGGGCCTGTACGGAGTTCAGTGGCAGAGCGCCTACACAGACCTGAGTTTGATCCCCAGTGACTCACACACAGCAAGATGCATCCTAGACGAGCTGACCTGAAGTCTCACCTGGAAGACAGATCCATAAAGGGCCATTGGGTCAGGAACTTGGATGAAAGGAATCAGCCTGTCTCTTAACTTGAACTCTTAAGTCACCATTCTTAGATTCTGGGAAGGAGTTTCTCTTCTGAATCTTGAAAGCTGCCAGAAGGAATGCAGCACTCATAGCTGGCCTCAAGAGGGAAGGGCTGCTGCTTTTGTGAAGACCAGGGGGTTAAGGTTGACCTCTTGCCCAACTTCCCAAAAAGATCTTTTGCCAAGAATACCACAGCCCACCTGTTGAATTGTCCTTGCAGTGCTCCTAATGAAGACTGTCAGGGAGAGGCTCTGGCTGGCCTCTATAGTCATTTTAGAAAATTGAATTGAAGGTGTTATGACTTAGGGTTGGTGCTAGTACAAAGGAAATAAGGACCAGGAAGCCGCTCACCTACCACCTTCCAAATCTGAGAGACTTTCCATAGGAGAAGATGCTTGTACTTGACCTGATCACTTACTGCACTTGTAGGAACTAGGGTGGCCTCAGCAGACTCCAGGCCCTGCCATCTGCCTTGGCTGTAGGCTTGTCACCTCCAAGGAAATCTGTACTCTTGCTGTACTGCGGTGGGCTTTGCTTCTGGAAATGTTGGCATGTGTGCACATCAAGCTTTGGTGGCAGGTGGCACATCAATTGCAAGGCTTCCTTTAGACTGAGGACACTCCCAGAAGGCCTTTTGCAACCAGCAACATGAGGGGGGGCAACCCGGGGCTTGGAGTTTCATGGTAGTGTCTGCCACAGTGCTCACCTTCCTGATTTGGTTACCACATGCCTGTGAATATATGTGTCAAAGTCTATAGCCAGGGCAAGTCTTCAATTTGTAATGTAGCCAAGGAGGGCCTCAAACTTAGGCTCCTCCTGCCTCAACCTTCCAAGTGCTGGTATGATAGCCCTGTGCTACTATGCTTGGCCATATTGGGTATTCTTTTTGTTGTTTGAGACTGAATCACAGTAGCCCAGGCTGGCCTTGACCTTAAATTTCTGATTCTTCTGCCTTCATCTCCCAAGAACTGGGATTTGTAATCTCCAGGTGTACACAGCCACACCTGGTTTATGTAGTGCTGGGGATGAATCCAGGACGTCTGCATTGTAGGCAGGTATCTATCAAACCATTACTGTTGCTTTTTTACCCCTGAAGCTGGATCTTTTTGCATAGAACAGCTTGAAAACTGAACAGTCAGCATCAAGGACATGGTGATAAGGGCAGCAAAACTCAGTACCAAGGAGGGATTAGGAACTACTTGTTTTCTGGCTAGCTTCTGCAAGCACAGGCCTAGACAGGAGTCCTAGAGGACATCAGAAGACCTTCAGGGTCCAAGCTCAGTGTCTCCACTTTAAATAGCAGTACTGTTTTTCATTTAAAAGTAGAAACTAGGGGCTGGAGAGATGGCTCAGTGGTTAAAAGCACTGGCTGCTCTTGCAGAGGACCTGGATTCAGTTCTCAGCACCCACATGGCAGCTAACAACCATCCATAACTACATGTGACAGGCCTGCCACAGCCAGCACTGGACAGGTGGTGCTCACAGTGCAGGACAGGAGCATGCACACAGGCCTAAGAGATCCAGACCCCAGAAATGGGTACCTCAGTTCCAAGACGCCTTAGTGCTAGAGGCTATGTGAGCTTGGCCAAGATCTGCCACCTTCAGGCGTTGCCTCTCCCTTCTCCAGAACAGACCTGTATTTGGTGACATGTCATTCTGTCCTGCCATCTTGTCAGCCTCATTTATGAAGTATCTAACAGGGACCATGTTGCATGTTACTCCTGCTCCACAGTCTTAAAAGGTCCTCTTTCTTGCAGCCCTGGGCGTTGTAAGGAAACTTGCTTTTCTTTTGTATAAGTGGAAGTTTGTTGCAAGCTTTTGGTTCCAACAAGTTCTGGTTGGCCCCAGTGGAAACCCAGAGTGGGACAGAAGCAGTGAGAGCCCCCTGAGGACCAGACATGTATTGTGTGTAGATACTGGTTTTCCACAGAGTCCTCCAGTACAGGAGATTTCTCACTTGGCAGAGGCTTCCACCGAGTGCTTGCTGTGGACAGTTCACATTCTTATGAAAATGGTCCAACCCTGGTGTGAACCCTACCTATAATCCCAGCACGGAGACAAGTGGATTGCCTTAACCTTGTGGACAGCCTTGGCTGCATAGTTTCAGGCCAGCCAAGGCTACACAGAAAGATTCTCAAAAAAAAATCAGTCAGAGGGAAAGTAGCCCTAAGTGGAAGATATTTCGATACCCATTTTCATAGCAAAGGTAGCGCATTAGTCAGCAGCCCCACACAGTTCAAGGATGAGTCTTTACTGCTATTTGCCCCTTCATTAAGCCAGGCAAGGACCAAGACAGATCTCAAACCCCTAAGGGTGACACCCCTGCACCCCGCACCCCCAGGCAAATGGGGTTGGGAGGCCACAGTGGAGGATTCTGTTAGCCTGTTCAGGCTGGAAAAGCAGATGGAAGAGTCTGGGTTGTATTCTAAAGAGGCATTCAGGGCAAAGAGCTCTAGGACATGCTCACCTCTAGGAAAACCAGCTCAAATCCAATGGGAGCTCAACAGCCTTGTCTTTGTTTTCTGTTCTTTAATTTGTCAAGAAAACCCATTCAGGTGAAGTGGGCTTTTTACTTCCTCAGCTAGTCCTTGGAGTGTGGGTGTCTGTACAAGGTTCCACACAGCCACCCCATCTGACGAGCACAGCCACCACTTACCTAGCCCAGGAGTATGATCTTTCAGAAAGGCAGAGTGCACTTGGAAGAAGAAACAGAAAGTCACTGGCTAGTGTTTCATTCAAAGATACACACACACAAAACAAGGGCAGTTTTTTTAGTGGGTACTCAATATTTGTTGAATGAAGCAATTTCCTTAGGACTTTGTAAATTCTGAAACTACTGCCTCTGTAGCTCCATCTTGTTCCTCCAGAGCAAACTGGTATTACTAAACTTAAGCAAAAATAAGAGCTGTGGGGCTGGAGAGATGGCTCAGGGGTTAAGGGCACTGGCTGCTCTTGGAGAGGACCCAGGTTTAGTTCCCAGCACCCGCATGGTGACTAACAATTGTCAGTAATTCTGGTTCTGAGGGATCCAACACCCTATTCTGGCCTCTACGGGCATTTCACACACTTGGTACACTTATATAAATGCAGTCACGCCACTCACACATATAAAATAAAAATACCACACCTACATGGCAGCTAACAACTGTCTGTAACTCCAGTTCCAGGGGATCTGACAGCCTCTTCTGTCCTCCTGGGGCACTGCATGACATGGGTGGACTTATGTACATGCAGGCAATACACACATACACATGAAATTAAAAATTAATTTAAAAATATCCGAGCTGTGACTAGATGCCTGGAGGCACACAGGCCTAAGACACCGGAAGTGGACAGGTTCCCTTCAGACATGAATGGGTGCCCAGCAGTCTTCAGAGCTGAAATGGACAACTCGAGGGCTATTACTGCAGATGGGACCGTGTGCACTCCACTGCAGATCACAAGGCATCAAGTCGGTGGTTTCTCCCAGCTGATTTCTCCCTGTGCCCACAGATAGGTGGGCCACTAATCCAAATAGAGCCTGGAGAAGTTAAGAGGGAATCCTTACATCTAGTGAGAAAAGATTGATCAAGTGGAACACCCTGATGATGGCCCTGAACTTCTGATTTTTTTGGAGTCAGGATCTTATGTAGCCCAGGCTGGACTCAACATGTAGCTGAGAATGGCCCTGAACTTCATATCCTCCTGCCTCAACCTCCCTAGTGCTAGGGTGACAGGCGTGCACCACCATATCTAGTTTATGCAGTGCTAGGGATCAAACCCAGGGCTCTGTGCACACCGTGCAGGCATTCCACCAACTGAGCTACAGTCCAGCCTGGGCACAGACTTAGAAGTAGTCCAGAACTTTCTGGATGTGGGTTTGACAACATGACAACATCACTAACCTGAGCCCTGCACTGTCTGAAGCCTTAGTACTCTCCTCTCACGGCCTCAGACATGCTGTGAGGAAAATCATTCTCTCCCGTCTCAAAGATGACACTTTGCAACATCCCTCCACACACCTCCCATGTTCCCCCAAGTCTTGGGCAGAAACACATGAAGACTGGAATTCTAAAACATTAGTTAATTTTATAGTCAGCTGCCAGATATAAAAATCAGATAGTTCAAGCCCAGCAAATGAAAACTCATGACAATGTAACCAGGAGACTTAGCTGGAGGCTGGGGATTTAGCTCAGTGACAGGGCACTTCCCCAGCATGAGTTTGATCATCAGCCAAAAAAACAAAAGAAGCAAGAAAGAAAAGCCTGGAGGGAGGTGAGGGGCAGGACTGTCCACGGCCTGGCTACAGACACCATGGCTGCAAGCCAGCTCCACCGTCCAGCTGTCCACTTACCTATATGGAAACAAACGGAAGGAATTCAGGGGGAATCACACACTTTAAACTTATTTTACACAATGGAAAAGCTGTTTTATTGGAGTTCAGAAAATAAAATCCATGAGAAATCTATGGAAAGTGCATTTAAAAGCAAATAATCACAAGTTTTCATTTTTAAGCCTCACAAATTTGCAATTTGAAGAAAGCTAGGCTGCACTCAAGGGAAAGCCAAGGCTAAGTCAGTGATTCGGGGCTCGGCTTTGTAATCCGCTGCCTCGCCAGAGCCTGTCAGGCCATCTACATAGTCTCCAAGAAGGAGCTAGTCCACAGTTACTAACTGGAGACCCTGACTTGGTCTATCCTCCTGGCCACTGGGGATTGGAGCTAGAAGTTGCACAAAGGTGTGGTCTTCATCCCAAGCACAAGCAGGAATACCTCCCACTGTCCTGTCCCAGCTTCTGGTGGCTTGTCTCCTGTACTCAGCAGATACACTAAGGCAGGCTCCACTGTTTTACTCCCTATTGGGCCTGCACTAATGGTCCTGCTGCACTGGACTGTTCCACTGCTGCCCAGAGTTCAGGTATTTACCCAATGGTGAGACTACACAGAAGGAGCAGAAAGGGGGTCAGAACAGACACATTAGCTGTGTGTGTGTGGGAATATCAATACCATCTCAGAGAAACAGGATTGCACTACAAGTGTTTCTAGAGGTGATGTACAGGGCAGGTCTTCCAGTCTGAAAGACCCTAGCTCAGATGCCCTCTAGAAACAAAGCAAATGTGGGTTTTCCTCAGCAGCCTGGGAGACCTGGAGAGTCTAGAAATCAGCTGGTTGAACAAAGCCAGATCATCTCCCACCAATGAGCTAGCTAGTTAATATGGAATCATTTCAGGTAGAGATAAGGAAATAAAGGATCTGGCTTGCCTTAGCAAGACAAAAAGTGGTAGGGGGAGGGGTGGGGGCAGAAATCAGAATCACACTTAAAGGTACTTTGTTGAAAAATCCAAAAGATAAAATTCACCCCCTGCCATTACTTCATCAACATAAAAGGCATTTCAAACAAAGTTTGGCTTGGATGATGCTGAAGAAATTATCTTAGACTTCATGATCTATAAATACAGGAATATTTGTGCGTGTTTTTACGGTGACAGGTACTGGAGGAATGAAGACTCCTGCAAGGCCCACGTCGCCAGATTCCTTTCCATTCCAGTCGCCTCCATGTTGGTAAGTCACCTTTGTCCCAGCCTCCTTTCTAAGCCCGTCACCATTGGAGGGTATGTGGTCCACCAGCCTTAGCTTTGATACTGGGGAGAAAAGAAAAGTGGCATGTAGCCATCAAGCGACTCAAGTTTATCCTCATACAGTAAAGCACTGAAGTAACAGAGTATTTATGTGCAACTCAGATGGTAAGTCTACTCAGAAATTATCAATGTTTTACTACATATAGAAAACGCAGCAAACCATTGACCATGTTGCCTGTTTGGAGCCAGAACCTCACTTTCCTGTCTTGTCACCCACTATCTGTAAGTGCTCACAATCTAAAGAGGGTGGAAACATTTCAAATGCAACTTTTGCTGCCAGGCTCTGCACTGAATGGTTCTAAAAGGAAAGAATCACACACACAGTATTCTAAAGTCAATGCCATCAGATTCAGGTCGTAATCTGCAGCACTGTGCATAAGTCAGGGTACTTAGGAAATGGGAAGGTTGCGTATTTCTGGAATTCACACGATTAGAAACTGTAAAAGTGTATCTTCAAATCGTGGTGAACTGAAGCAGGTAGATGCTGTCTGGGTACTCTAGCACCTTTGGCGAATTTAAACTTGGCTTTGGACAACTTTTAAGGAAGGTGTGAAGAAATCATTTTGGCGGGTGCCTTGTATTTGTGTGGATTCCCTTAACATTTAGCAGTGTGAGTACATCTACTTGAAAGTCTTTTTAGTAATCAGAGATGTGAAGGTATGATCTATTTCCTAGAAAAGTCAAAAATCCTCAGCACAGGCAAAATATAAGAAGCCTCTTTCTCCTCTGAGGAGATTGCAGTATCACCAAAGAAACTACCTGCAATCCAGAGGACCATTCCGAGCGACTACAGACTGTCCCCGAAGCCATCACAGAGGACTGTCCTGAGCCTCCTCAGATTTTCACCTGGTCAGACCCAGACTACTGCCTTTTCCACATGGTGTTGGCAGGTAATCTACCCATCCCGAACTCAGAACAAGATTGGCCCATGGGCAGACCCAGTCTCTGCCTCTGTCTGTCTCTCTCTGCCTACCTGCCTGT